GGAAGACCTGGGTTCAGATCCCACTCTGCCCTGAAGTTCATTCTTGGCCTGACCTTCATCACAGGGTTGTTCTGAGGATAAACTGGAAACGAGAGAGCTTTGTGCGCTACCCTGAATGGCTTGGAAAGAAGGCTGGGGTAAAAGTGTGCTAGAAAGATAAGCTGGGGTGGGCGGGGTGCTGCCGCTGGGAGCACCACGCACATATGGGATCGCTGAGTTACGGCAATCGTGCATTGGTGTATGTGGCGGGAAGCACCCCTAAAACCATGGGTTTGGGTCCCAACCCTGGCAATGTCTAGTAAAGCTTATAGAGTGGGACTTTGTCTTCACCTGTGGTAGGGTGCTACTAGGCTGCCTAGTCTTACCTGGCTGCCAGCAGAGGTGTCCCAGTCCTCGCCCTGGAGTTCTTCGAGCAGGGCACATTGCAGGGGACGTTCTGTCATTTAAAGGAAAACTCCATGGTTTTTCCTTAAACCCTCGACCGTCCCGTCCCCCTGCAACGTATCCTGTGTGATGACATCACCTCCACAAACAGGGCGCTTTGGGGGGCGTGGTTCCCCCGCCGGCCAGATTGGGGCCGGCAGTTCTGGGGCCCCGAAAGCAGGCAACCCCCCGCCCCTGTTGGGGGAATGGCAGCCCCAGATGCTACCCTCCAGTGTTCCCTCTAAACTGAGTTAGTGTGAGCTAGCTCACAGTTTTTTAGCCTCCGGCTCACCCATTTTTGTCTTAGCTCAGGAAGGAGGGCTCCAGAGCAAACTCATTTATACAGTAGCCAAATCGCTTGCTCACAACTTCAGTGCCAGTAGCTCACAAAGTAGAATTTCTGCTCGCAAGACTCCACAGCTTAGCGGGAGCGTTGCCACCCTCCCCAGACGCTGGGGATCAGTGGATCCCCACGGATGGTATGGGATGCAACAAGGGAGGAAGTGGCTGGATGGCCCCTTTCACGAGTGGTAATGTGATACGTGCAAACGGAGGGCTACAGAGTGGCAATCTGATATCTCCGGTGCATCAAAACTTGGGGCGCTGCTAAATGTCAAAAGCACTATTGAGCCGGCAACCTAGCTGGCCTCGGTGGAAGCAAATCGTTTCAGAAGGGCCTTTATTCTGGCTAGGTTCTCTGCTCTCTCCCTTCTGTGGTTATTGAGGGCAGGTACAATAAATCCCCTATCCGGAAAGGTTATGCTCTTGCTCCCCAGGGGAGGTTGAGTCTGCAAAGCACATGTTCTTTAGCTGTCCACTCCGCAGGGAGGTGCGTCTTGGAATCATTACTCCATTCCTTGATATGATCCCTGGCCGTGTAAACACAAATAAAGCAAGGCTTCGCTGGTTTTTTATCTGATAATAATTCTGAGATTACACGTCAAGTTGCTAAATTCTGTGCATTATTTTTCAAATCACGGGAATCTTAAAAAAGAACTTAAAAGCTCTTAAATTTAAAAAATATATATTATTGTGTGTTATGTTTGACTTAGTGGTATGTTGGTCTAAAGACCATAATAAACAACAGCTACAATGACTAAATGGAAGGGGAGTTGGGACCAGTGTTCCCTCTAAGCTGAGTTAGTGTGAGCTAGCTCACAGCTTTTTGGCCTCCGGCTCACACATTTTTGCCTTGGCTCAGGAAGGAGGGCTCCAGAACAAACTGATTGATGCAGCAGCCAAATCGCTCGCTCACGACTTGAACGTCGGTAGCTATCAAAGTAGAATTCTTGCTCATAAAACTCCACAGCTTACTGGGAGCATTGGTGGGGACCCTGTAAAGTGGTCCAAAGAAGACACAGACAAATCCTGGAGGTTTTGGGGGTGCCGGGTGAGAAATGCTCCCCTGGTCACTCTCGCTAAGGGCACCGGTCAGAGTCCAGCCGGACAGGACACAAGAAGCCTGCAGAGTAGCCAAAGGAACCACCCCACCCCCGCCAAAGTGGGTAGTCAGAGCATGAGCGGCAGACGCAGCTTTAAGGAGTAAGGAAGTATTAAGAAGGGGATGGGAGGAAAGTGCCGATTACATCTGGAGACTGTCTGATCTGCCAAGTGAGCAATTATTTTGTGTACAGACGTGAGGTACACAGATGCCAGCAGGATTATGGGGCGGGGGAAGAGAGCGGGAAGGGAAGCCGAAGAAACGCAGCCGCCCCGTGAAGCCTTCCCCCGCACCAGAATGAACCAGATGCTGGAATGCAGCCGGTGAGCAAACCAGTTGACAGCCCTCCTCAGCTTCCATTTCATCCTCAGCAGCCCGGCAAGGGAGGTTAGTGCGACTGGCCAGGTAGCTCCTTGGCCAAGTGGAGCTCTGAAGTTCTCCGCCCCCCGCCCCCTCGATCCAGCCCAGGAGCTGCAAGTTTAAAAGCGATGGTTGATGGAAGCGTTTGCATTTCATAGGGCAAAACGTGCTCCTGGAGCTCAAAAAACATTGGGTGTGTACGGGCGCCGCAGCTGCAACCGGCCAAAGGTCTGAATGGATTTCCTCATGAGGAAAGGCGGTTGCATCCTCTTGGTCTTCATTTTGACAAAACTCGAAGGAAACAGAGGCAGGAAAGCGGGGTGTGAGGTCCACTGATGTCCAGGGTGCCCTCTCGTCTTTTGCTCCCCCCACACACACACACATTGCCGTTGTCAGGGCTTTTTTTCTTGGGGAACTCACTGGAACAGAGTTCCGGAACCTCTTTGACAACATTCTTTTAAAAATGTTGAACGTTCCATGGGTTTTTAGTATACAGATCGAAAACTTCATTTCCCTCTTGGGAGTTCCGGAGCCAGTTTGGTGTCGTGGTTAAGTGCGTGGACTCTAATCTGGGAGAACCGGGTTTGATTCCCCACACCTCCACTTGCACCTGCTGGATGACCTTGGGCAAGTCATAGTTTTGATAAGAGCTGTCCTTGAAAGGGCAGTTCTCAAAGAGCTCTCTCAGCCCCATCTACCTCACAGGTAGTTTGTAAGCCGCTCTGAGACTCTGAGTGAAGGGCGGGGTATAAATCCAATCTCCTCCTCCTCCTCCTCCTCCTCCTCCTTGGTCAAACATGATATGCAGGTTTTTGAAGCTGGATGCAAATCTGCCTGAGCAGAAAAATAGGCTGGGGTGCCAAATTGCGTGGGGGTGGGGGCCCCCACAGTGTTCCCTCTAAGCTGAGTTAGTGTGAGCTAGCTCACAGTTTTTTAGCCTCCGGCTCACACATTTTTGTCTGAGCTCAGGAAGGAGGGCTCCAGAGCAAACTAGTTTCTGCAGTAGCCAAGTTGCCCGCTCACAACTTGAATGGCAGTAGCTCACAAAGCAGAATTCTTGCTCACAAGACTCCACGGTTTAGAGGGAGCATTGGTGGGGGAGGCCCGCACTTTGTGAACCGCTGAGTGATCTCCAAAAGGGTGGGCCTTTCAGAAGTCCGCCCCCTAGCTGCTTCGGCCCCACCTTTTCCAGGGTTCCTAGCAATAAGGCGAGGAAGCAGCAGATGCTAAGAACGAGAACATGGGGTAGCCCTGCCGTTTTCTGGTCAGGGGATCTCAGCCTTTCTGAAGCGGGAGACGCTTCTAAATTTTGCCTTTAGGGACCTGGTACAACCACACTGCGGGCTGGTGGTGGTGCCGGTTGGAGGGCCAGCGGGGGCTGGCTCTGCCCATCACCTTCTGCAAGGCCAGGGCAGGAGTGAGCCAAACCCTCCGGAATGAATAAGGGTGAAGGGTGGGAGGAGGAGGAGGAGGAGGAAGAGGGAAATCCCTGCTCTACTCCCCTCCTTTGCCCACTTCCCAGAGGGAGAGGGCCCAGGGCTTCCTCTCCCAGCCCTGTTGCCAGAGAGTTGCCATCCGCTTTGGGGTCATGAGCAATGCTCCCTCTAAGCTGTGGAGTCCTGTGAGCAAAAATTCTACTTTGCATTTGCGAGCTACCGGCATTAAAGTTGTGAGCAAGCAGTTTGGCTCCTGCATAAATGAGTTTGCTCTGGAGCCCTCCTACCTGAGTAAAAACAGAATCTGTGAGCCAGAGGCTAAAAAACTGTGAGCTAGCTCACACTAACTCAGCTTAGAGGGAACACTGGGTCACGAGCCACAGTTAGAGAATCCCTGGGCTGTGGGTGTGGCGCTTAGCATGTCCTAAGATGGATGGCGGGGATGTGCCACTGTTTTAATTCAGCCAGCGAGGAAGGAGGCCCCGTACCCTGAGCCGGCTGTGCCTTCAATCTCTACGGAATAAGCAAAGAGCGGGCGTGCTCTGCCCAATGTAACGGCGGTTCTGTCCTGCCACTTTCGGCTCACTTTGCAGTATTCCCCCCCCACCCCCAGCTGTCTTTGGGCAGAGTCGCTCCATTAAATGACGGAACATGCATTAATTCTTTCCGTAAAGCAATTGGATCCTTTGGGATGACACAGCAGGTCTGCAAAAGGGGGAGATGCAGGGTGGGCACGGAGGCGGACACGGATGGCGATAAACAGTGCTTTTGGCTGAGGCCGGAGTGGTACACGTACAGAGGAGTGTGTACCCACACAGGCACGCACACATGCCCCCCCCCTCCACTCCTGCCACAGCTCCACTCCTCAGCCGTCTCCCATGTACCCAGCATGCCCTCTGTTTGCTGCGTTGCTTTCCGATCACGTTCCGGGCATCCCCTCGGGACGGCGCAGAAAATTAACAGCGGTCCAGATCTGAGGAACTTTATGACACGTGTATGATAGGGCTGAACCAGAGTGTAATTGAATGACGGATGAGCTTCCAGAAGCCACATTTCCAGGGAGTAATGAAAAATAGAACTGATATTGACTGAGGGAGCTTTTGCTGGCCGGGCTGGGATGAGCCGGCGTTCGGCGCAGGGAGCGCATCAATAGGGCAAGTAATAGCACAGTTATTGTAACTCCCCAAAATGTCATTTGGGCTTAAAACTAGAGAACACTTTGCTATTAACCAGACTTAAACAGAAAGGACACGAGAGGGAAAGACGGGTAATTTATTTCGGAGCGGCTCTTCCAGGTAGGAGCGTCCCAGTTTCTCTTTCCCAGGGCAGGCAGACGACGGGCCGGATCTGGTTCAAGGAGGGGGGAGTAGAAGTCTTTCTGGCTGCTGCGCCACACCCATGGAAGGCGAGTTTGGAGAAGAGAAGAAGAAGAAGAGAAGATTGGATTTATATCCCGCCGTTCACTACCCAAAGGAGTCTCAGAGCAGCTTACAAACTCCTTTCCCCTCCCCTCCCCGTGAGGTAGGTGGGGCTGACGGAGCTCTTTCGAGGACCGCCCTTGAGAGAACAGCTCTGAGAGAACTTGTGACTGACCCAAGGTCACACCAGCAGCTGCACACGGAGGAGTGGGGGAATCAAACCCGGTTCTCACAGATTAGAGTTCACGCCCTTAACCACTACACTAAACTGGCTCTCAGTGCTGGGTACCTCCTTTGAGGAGATACGGTGGGCAGCTGAGATAGAGGAGATGTTACCCGATGTCCCCAGGCCAGCTAACCCAGTCCCCGAATGGATCAAAGTCCATTCGGCGAAGAACGTGTCGCTGCCTCATCTTTGAGATCCCCGTCCCAACCAACAAGCAGAGGTGTCATTCTGAGCTCAGGACCGGAAGAGATGGTGCTGAATCCTCCCGTTGCCCCATAATATCGCCCCTTCCTACGGTGAAGCGCCGGGCAGCTTTGAACGAAAGCCCCGTGCCATAAAAAGCTTGTCTTCCTTCTGCATAACCAGCATAGCCTCCTTGCTCTCTGTGGACTCTGGGCGAGATGTCCTTGCCTGATGGAGCATGTGGCCCAATCATGAGCATCCTTGCGCACATCATCCTCCGAAAGGAGGGTGGAGCATGGTGGCCCTTTACTGTCCTTTTCAGAGTCAGGCTCTGCTCCCTGCAGGTGCCGCTGCCCGAATAAAATGGGAGGTCACCGTCCTTTGGTCCCGCTCTGTGGCCTTGTCCCTCCTGAGCAAGGCTCCCTCTAAGCTGTGGAGTCTTGGTGAGCAAAAATCCTACTTTGCGAGCCACTGGCATTAAAATTGTGAGCGAGCGATCTGGCTACCGCATAAATTAGTTTGCTTTGGAGGCATCCTTCCTGGGCTAAGGCAAAAATGTGCGAGCCGGAGGCTAAGAAACTGTGAGCCAGCTCACACTTACTCAGCTTAGAGGGAACAGTGTTCCTGTGTCTCTCGACTCTCTCAAACCCCAAGGTTCCCCTTGGTTGTCCTGTGACGCTCAGTCGTCCCAAGTTCACACGGTGGTTCAGAGCTACCCCACACCTCCACAGCTGTGCTCTGGGATACCGCCATGTTTCCCTGCCCAGCAAGGCGGCTGGTGCGGCATTTACCTCCCGCGGTTGCCAGCATGGGTCTAAAACGTCGCTTTGACCATGGTTGTGTGGGTTACGCTTCCTCGCGGTGCTTTTGTGGTGCGAGGGGAAAGACAGAGTGCTTGAAAGGCAGCAATTGAATCTGGTGTGGTGCCGTTTTCTCCCCGGATCGAGGTGCGTAGCGCCGCGGACCCCTGAGGCATAATGGCAGTCTGTTGGGGAAAGATGAGTGAACTTAAATGGATTTTTGCTTTTAACAAAAGCCCGTCATCCAGTTATTAGCTCCTGCCACGGGGAGGATGCTGAGCTGGCGGGCCGTCTGTCCGTCTGTCTGTCTGTCTGTCTGCTAATTCATAACACTGTGGAATTGGGACGCAAAAGACAGCCAGCGACAAATGTGTCTGGTACCCCACAGGCACTGAATGCACACACAGGGATACTCTGAACACAGAAGCACACACTCATCGAGCGCGTGAAGGCTGTTTGGTTACTGAGGGGAAGTATCGCACAGCAGTTTTTCTAAAAATCCCTGCAATTAAGATGCGCAGGCTCTCAACAAAAGAGCTGGGTTCGAGTCCAGTAGCGCCTTGGTGACCGACGAGAAACTTCCCAGGTATAAACTTTGGAGAGTCAAAGCTCTCATCGACAGATAACGTTGACATTCAAAAGCTTTTTACCACCACCACCCCCAAATCTTGCTGGTCTGTAAAGTGTTCCTGGACCCAAATCAGGCTGTTAAAAAATATTTCAGAAGCCATTTGGGGGTGGGGAATTCAGAAGGTCAACGTTTGTCAAAATGGAACAGGCGACAGGATTGTCTGTTAAGTTCTGCTGTCAGTTTCTGTGGGAGGGTAGAGGGGGAAATGGTAATGATTTTGAGGGTTGCATGGCGGGAACACTTGGCTCTGGGCTTCCGCGGGTTCCAGAGTCCCTCCCAAGGGACCGTGCTGGGGCCTTGCTCCGCTGTGGTACACCACAGGCCTCCTGCAGCCCCAGCAGCTTTCCTGGCCCATTGCCTTCCTTCTCCACTTCCTAACCCTCCCCTTTCTATTCACTGAACTTGACTCTCTTTGCATGCAGTTCAGACTCTACGCATGGCATTCTGATTCTGTAAGTTTTTCCTGCTTGTTCCTACCTGATCCTGCTGCGCCTTCCACCTGCTCCTCTCCCTGCTCACATCCTTCTTGAGGCTTTTTCTGCTTGTTCCTACCTGATCCTGCCGCACCTTCCACTTGCTCCTCTCCCTGCTGCCTTCCTTCCACGAGGCTTTTCCTGCTTGTTCCTACCTGATCCTGCCGCACCTTCCACCTGCTCCTCTCCCTGCTCTCTTCCTTTCATGAGGCGGTTCCTGCTTGTTCCTCCCTGCTCCCTTCCTTCCACGAGGTTGTTCCTCCTTGTTCCTACCTGATCCTGCCACGCCGTCCAACTGCTCCCTTCCTTCCACGAGGCTGTTCTTCCTTGTTCCTACCTGATCCTGCCACGCCTTCCAACTGCTCCCTGCTCCCTTCCTTCCACAAGGCTTTTCCTGCTTGTTCCTACCTAATCCTGCCGCGCCTTCCACTTGCTCCTCTCCCTGCTGCCTTCCTTCCTTCCACGAGGCTTTTCCTGCTTGTTCCTACCTGATCCTGCCGTGCCTTCCATTTGCTCCTCTCCCTGCTTCCTTCCACAAGGCTGTTCCTCCTTGTTCCTACCTGATCCTGCCACGCCTTCCAAGTGCTCCCTGCTCCCTTCCTTCCACAAGGCTTTTCCTGCTTGTTCCTACCTGGTCCTCCTGCACTTTCCATCTGCTTCTCTCCCTGCTGCCTTCCTTCCACAAGGCTTTTCCTGCTTGTTCCTACCTGATCTTGCCACGCCTTTCACCTGCTCTCCCTGCTCTCTTCCTTCCACAAGGCTTTTCCTGTTTGTTCCTACCTGATCCTGCTATGCCTTCCGCTCCACCTACGATTTTGCCTTTTCAAGTCAGAGGTCTTGCTGAGAACAGCTGAGCCCATTTCTTCATTCTTCATCGAGAATTCTTGTCCCCATGAGACAACGATACATTGGGGCCCTTTCAGAGCTTGTCAGTACATTTCAGTGCTTTGGTTCAGGAGAATCCACTATAGTGGCCTTGAAACCACTGCAGGGGCTACGCTGGAAACCAGAGTCTGTTATCACCGCGCTTAAGATCTTGACTGTGTACGAGGCCCAGGCAGACATAGCAGCCTATAACTTCTGGAAATGACTGCGGGGATCAGTCTCACGCGTGTGTGTGTGTGTGTGTGTATACGGCGGTCTTGTCATCCTCTTTGGCCCAGACATTTAGTATGTGTGCAATCATGGGATTTTCTGGCTCACTTGGGAATGCATTCTGTTACTGTGCATGATGCATGGACTTGCCTTGTGCAAGGAGAGCCCCCCCCCGTGTCTCTGTGTGTGTGCGGTGTAGGGGGAGGAGTGACAGACAGGAAGGATTCTGGCCATATTCTTCCACTGCTGTTGCAAGCCAGGGTGCATCATTAACTGGGAAATAATTAATTGTTGGGCAGACAAACGCCAGCCCTCTGCCTCCATCTCCCCGCCTCTCCAGGGACCCTGTCAAAGAGAGCTGTCAGGCCCCGGTGTGATAGATGGTGTCCTTTTTGGCTGCATGGTCCATCAACCAAGGGGGTGGGACTGGAGGGTGGTGGTGGAACAAAGCAATCCGAGTTGTCCCAATGACTGGGAGGAACAGATGGAGGCAGATTGCCAGGACCAAATCCTCCGGAGAGCCACCTCCCCAAAATGGGCCATGCCTAGGCCTACAAGGAGATGGGGAACAGGTGGGAATAGAGCGTGAGGTACCCACAGCACGCCCAGCTGGAGAGAGAGGAGGAGGGTAACCAGTGGCAGGTTCCGTTTGCTGGGCTTCCTGATAGTTTACCTCTGACCTGGCTAGGGTGGAGGTTTCACGCCACCTGCTGGTCAGAGTACCTTGTCCTGCTCAGTGCCCAAAGAGGGGCCCTGACGCCTTAGTCTGCACAGTCCTTGGATCCCTGACTGGTATCCCTGTGTGGAATCTGGGCTGGACTGAGGAGGGGGAAATTCTCTCACTCCCCTTCCTCTTGAGGTGTCAAGGGGGACCAGATCTGAGGTGTGAAGTTGGGCTCCCTCTCAGTAGAGTTTTTGGACTTCTGCCTCATTCCTCTAAGGTAAAGGTTTCCCTTGCTCGAAAGCCAGTTCAATCCCACTCTAGGGGGTGGCACTCGTCTCCGTTTCCAAGCCGAAGAGCCAGCGCTGTCCGAAGACGTTTCCGTGGTCATGTGGCCGGCTTGAGTAAACGCAGAGGCGCACGGAACGCTGTTACCTTCCCACCGAAACGGTACCTGTTTATCTACTTGCAGTTTCTTGCTTTCAAACTGCTAGGTTGGTAGAAGCTGGGGCCAGAGACGGGATCTCTCTCCGTCACGCGGCACTCGGGTCTCGAACTGCCAAACTACAGACCTTCCAGTCTACAGCTCAGCGTCTTAATCTCTGAGCCACCGCAGCCCTCTACCTGTCAGTAATTTCCCCCTGGGCCAGCTAGGATGATTTGGCTCTCTTGCTGGTGTTGCTTCTGTGAATTGCCTGTGTTTGCCGCACCTTCCAGCAGCCTGGATTGCATTGGATTATTCTGGGGCTGTTCTTGGATCTGCGCCTAACTCTCAGGGTGGGTCAGACCCATGGGAAGAAATCCTATATGGGTTTTATGGTGGAAACGTGATCCCTGATTGGGCGAGCCTTGATCAGGGCTTGTCCAATTCCCAGCAGCACAATCCTAAGAGATTGGCTGACCCGCCACTGAAGCGTAACAGGGAGGGGAAGCCGGATCGGCACCAGAGCGTGGAACCTCAGAAGGAGCGTGGAGTTCCTTCCCCCCACAGAGCTGCAGTAGAGGCTAGCAGTTGGAGGTTCAAGAAGCTGGAGAAGTCGTTTCATCTTGGGGTAGCCTGGGAGAAACCAGGAAGGTACGCCGATATAATTCTTCCCCTTGCATCTGCTGGTTTTGGCAAGAGGGCCGTCATGGAACGGCAGCAGTTGGAACTCCCTGTTTTCTTTTTGTCAAGGCGCGAGTGCCGACAGAGTCAGTTCGGTGTAGTGGTCAGGAATGCGGACTCTAATCTGGAGGAACCGGGTTTGATTCTCCACTCCTCCACATGCAGCTGCTGGTGTGACCTTGGGTCAGTCGTAAGTTCTCTCAGAGCTGTTCTGGAAAGAGCAGTTCTCAAGAGAGCTCTCTCAGCCCCGCCTACCTCACAGGGTGTCTGTTGTGGGGAGGGGGAGGGAAAGGAGATTGTAAGCCGCTCTGAGACTCCTTTGGGTAGTGAAGGGCGGGGTATAAACCCAATCTCTTCCTCTTCTTTCATTTTTATTGGGCCGCCGAGGGACAGAGTTCTGGGAGATGCCATGGCCCGAGGAGCCTGAGGCATTGGGCAAAGCACTGCTGGTGTGTGGCTCTAAATTCGGCAGCCATCTTATAGAGAGGAAGGAAGGGGGGGGGGAGTATGACTTTGGGCCAGTCACCGTTTCTCAGCCAGACCGACCTCACAGATCTCATTGCGAGGATAAAAGGTGGGGAATAAGGGTTGCCAGTGCCGGGTTGGGAAATACCTGGATACTTTGGGGGTGGAGCCTGGGGAGGGCGGGGTTTAGGGAGGGGAGGGGCCTCAGCGGGGCCCAGTGCCTCCAGAGCAGCCGTTTTCTCCAAGGGAGCTGATCTCTGTAGTCTGGAGATCAGTCGTAACAGCCAGAGGCGCCGCCTGGAGATGGATGCATGAACATTGCCCCGAGTTCCTCAGAAGACGATTCAGATGGCTGCATAGAGCCAGGACCAAACATTTGTGCCGCTCAAGAAGTCAAGTGATCTTGTTTTCGTATGACGTCTGGGTCAGGTCTGGAGGAGTGGTGAGAAGACCGTGGTCCAGAGGGAACCAATTCTGGGAGCCTATGGTGGTTCTCAGCAAGTGGCGTCAGGCATAAAGGCCTGGGAGCTGGAACCGGCTTGTCCGGGGCTCTTACCCAGCCCGCGAGCAACTAGTGCGAGGGAAGGAACAGGAGGCTGCTGGGGGGGGGGAGTGGGCAGAGACGCTCTGCGGCTTCAGCGTGGCAGAACAGCCTCATCCGCAGCAGCGAAGCAAAACTTCTTCACTTCAGGGGCACCTGACTGGTGAGCCTGGAGCCACCGCAGCCGCATTCAGGTCAGCTCTGAGTTCCAAGG